AAAGCTCCTTGTCTTCAACAAACAAGCATCCAAGCCTCCTGCCCTGCCCCAGAGGTACTTCAACGCTCGCCGTCAAGACCGCAAGGCCGCTCCCTCTGGAGACATCACCCCTCGAGCTCTCTACTTCACCTCTGACGACATCCCTGCCGGCCCAGAGGAGGCCGAAGCCACAGGCGAGGGCGCCACGATGAGCGACTAGACACCCCAGGGACGGCTCTCCTTCCCTCCACCCGTCAGATGGGCGTGTCTGCCGTCGCTGCCGAAGTCTGCAAGGGATGCTGCCATCGAGCCAACGGCTCAATCACGGAGGGTATCACCAGAAGGGGTGTATGACGAGTATGTCAATGATGTGATGCACATACACATGCCGGAGGCACTGCATGGATGGATCCATCGCTACCTGAGACGCCATGGCGAGGTGGTGTCATACTGCTTTGTGTGCGCCCGGCTGAGAGGCGAGCGACGAGCGAAGAGAGTACATGATAGAGGGGCATACAGCGGCTAATGAGAGAGCATGAGAGAGTGTGAGAGCGGTCGGCAACTGGATTTATAAGGACGGACGGCAACAAGGGGTGGGCTTGGCTTACATACACGTGGCGAGGGGCATCAATGCATGGATGGTGAAGTCATTTTCGGAAAAAATCTGTGTAGGCGGTGGAGCACTTGCAGAGTACACACACCACGTTGGCGTTTGGCGCGTGTGCCATGCACTGCGCGTTGTGACCCCCCTGCACATGGCACTCCTTTCCCGTGTGTGGCGATGCGGCGCCTCGGCGATTCGGCGATCGGAGTGAAGCGCGGGTGAAGCGGACTGCGGCGGACTCCGGAGTCCGCGGCAGAGAGTTTCACCCGAGCGATCGGAGTGAGACTCTCCCCTCGATCCGTTCCTCCGGGGTTTAGGCACTGCGCTCGTCGACGCGTGACAGGCCGCCCCACACTGGTCTGTCCGTCCCATGCACGTTCCCTTACTGCTTTCTTCCCCACCCTCCCCCCCTTTTTTAAGATCGTAACGGTCGCGCGTCCCCCCTGACCTGCGTCAGGGCGATGGTGTTTGGCGCGTGTGCCATGCACCGGGCGTTGTGACCCCCCTGCGCATGGCACTCCTTTCCCGTGTGTGGCGATGCGGCTCGGAGTGAGGCGCGGGTGAAACCTTACGAAACTGCCAGGATCGAAAGGTACACACTAACATCTAATTAGCTCGCATAGCTCGCACCGCTCGAACCGCTCTCTAGGCATCGTGTGAGGCGATTTGGCGGCCATTCCTGAAGACCTGGGGAAGCTGAATGAAGAGGTGCTTGCTCGTGAA